GATTACTGTATCAACGTCATACTGCGAGATCATAATTTCTGGACGAACCCATTAGTTAAGATAGTAAGTCTTGGATTTTGGCTCGAAATCCACTTATCCATACGGCTAAATAGAACAGTTCGTGATGGGAACCCTAACGTCCAACCGTAAATCCTAATACCTTACATTAAATTATAATCCTCATTTAATTCTATTGGTTAGGTAAATTTTCTCAACGTCACTTTAGCGTCGCTCAAAGAACATCCGTAAATTATAGTCTTGCTTACCATACTATATATATATATATATATATATATATATATATATATATATATATATATATATATATATATATATTTCGGGGATACTATAGGAAAACAAAACAAGGAAAATCTATGAAAAAACTAATAGATACTTACACGTAAAAATAAATTATTGTTGATTACTAAAGTAACAATTTGGCAACTGGCTTCGGAAATATATACATATTTATCCGTCATGTCTATCCTCATCGAATGTCACAATTTTAGGTTCAAAGATTTACTAAAGAAAAACAATAACCTTTATTTATTATCACAATGTACTAATTATGACAGAGAATTTGTAAGTTGAATAATTTACGATTTTCAGTAAAACAATGTATATCTATTATCTAATTATCAAGCGTGTGTATGAATTACTACGTGAAGACAAAGTTTAGATGAAATATTTAGATGCTGAGTTTACTGTAATTTAGAAAAGTGAATTAACAACAAGGATGAGTATTTGGGTGTATCTTTATAATCCATCTTATCGATGATAAGATACTATATGGATATTGGGAGATCTGTTAGAGGAGAGATTTGAACCCGTTTTAAACACGATCAACAGATAGCTCCAAGTAGAATATTTCGTCAAGTGGCCACAATTTTATCTGAAAACACCAAAATTATAAAAATGTCACTTCTGAAGGCTCCAACTGAGAAAATTTAGTAGTTTCTAAAATATAGCATGTTGGTCGGGTTTTTCCAAAGGGTCTCTAAATAACATTTTTTATATGGAGAGTAGTTACTTGATTGGTCGAAATGTGAATGACGCACGAAATCGATTTTCTCAAGTCGTCTGAAACATGTGATTACATTTTTAGAAGCCAGCCAGTCAAATCAAATTATACAAATCCGACTGTTAATCTCTATGCAAATAAATAATATAAAAGTGGTGTATTCACATACTATTGCGATTTATTTCCGTCGTCAAATACATCCATGTCAGTACTGTTTGTGTTTCAACTGAGCTTCGTTAGAATCAAGGTTTTAAGTACTAAGTGCAAGTCGGCACTCAGAGGACAGTTACATACAAACAATTCTTAATTTCCTTTACATAAAAGCCTCATTGTGACTTATATAACATAAAAGGAGAAAAAATGTGTCTGCTTTCGAAAACGATCTGTAAAACCTGTTGTCTGGAAATTAATAGTCAAACTGTAATATAATAGACAGTGTTAAAGTAGCAATTCGGGTCGTTCATTATGTAAGATTAATTCTTTAATAAAATCTCCATCAGCTCATGAAACACTTGTCACATGGAGAAGGCACTTGATATTGATAGGGAAATTATTAAATGTGTTTTTACGATAAAACAGTATTTAACTAATCTCTGACAATGAAAATACATGAGAACCATTTGCCTCTAGAACGAACTGTACATAAGGATGAAGCGACTAAACTGTCTCCTTTATTGCATCCTTGAGAAAGTTGTCTTTGCGGAGTTTGCGCCCATCAGTTATATATATGTATGTTCGTTAAGAGTATCTAGTCCTTTACGTGAACATTCTAGACAAGTTTTTTACAATATGTAGCAATCTAGACACTACTAACAAACAGTTTGATAGACAATATGAAATCAAGATTCAAATATAACATGAAATTTGAAGGTAGAAGTCGATAAATTATTGACCAAAAGAAATAAATATACATCACAGTGTTACTGGTAAATCCTATTTAATCTAATTTTGAATAGCTTAGTTTTCCAGTTACCCGTTGATGTGCTGCACTACATTTTTTATGTATGTACTTAAGCAAAGACAATAAAAATATTTGTAGAATACAATTGGATTTACTTTTTACTTAAATTTATGGAGGGAATCAATTGCACGATAATTTTTATGTGCCGAAAGTAGCAATATAGCTAGCAGCTTTAGGGTTAACTGACGATATGCTTACTTGATACCTTCTATGATTCACTATATAAATTTTAAGCAACTCAGTATCTCCCAATGTAATAGATCAGTACCAAAGTTCAAGACTGTAATTTCAAACAAATATTCTGCATATGGCATTTCTACTTGTATGAGACATGGATGTAAACACTTCAATATTTGCAAACAATTAGAATAGCTACTGATGGAAAGTCAACACCATTAGATGCTTGAACCTAATTGTCTGGTACAGTATTATTATTGTCAAAATACATAGAAGTATCTGATGAATAAAAATGGATAACGGAAACAGTGATGACCAACTCGTGTTATCTATTCATGGATACAATGTATGTATGTCGATTAGTTTTGATAACTTGATGTTTGATTAAATGAAAATTATGTTCGAATTGCATGCTACCTACTACGATTTAAGTAATACAGATGATAATGCAAAACTTTCGAAAGTCACGCTCACCAACACAAATGATCAGCTTACGACTTTAATGATAAACCATGAGCAAGAGAAATCGATACAAGAAAACCGAAAGTAGTTATAATCACTTACACTATTATACCTGTGACAAATTTGAACATGAGCAGTGACAATGGGGATCGTCAGTATCATATTACATGATGATGTTCTATAAGTCTTCATACGAATGTGAATCAACTTAAACTTGAAAAGCGGTATGGCATCGGTTGAGACAAACGTCATCCAACTTTCATGAAAAATAGAAACCATGGAATACTGGCATGTCTGAACTCAGTTGTTGACGGTAATTTCCAAGAAACTTGAACATAAGTTTTTACCTAGCTGGAACTTGCCAGCACATGACGATTGAAACTTGAAGGAGACTGATCCTCAAGACGAAATTCAAACGTGAGTCACCCAGTGCCATTGTCAAAGGCGTTATTAATAAGCCATTTGAACCACGACTGACACGCAGGATTTAGATTGTTACAATGAATGACCGCTGAGTAGTAACCAATATCATGCTCTTTTAGAACTTAGTGACAATCGAATTCTGTCGACCTGGGCAAAATGAAGTAAATAAGCTTAGTTAATGGTGTGTGGGAGGTTACTGTTTCTCGGTCGACCATATAACAGAAAGATACTTCTTCCCGAGGTACCTGAAAAAGAAACTGGATTACCAGCGATTTCAGTAATCTGCTACGGAGCCGAAACTTAGAGAACAACTACAACCATCATCGAAACCGTACAAGTATTTATAAACAATTGTCTACGCAGAGTATCCAAGATCCGTTGACCGGATACCATCAGCAACAACCTACTGTGACAGAACAAACCAACTTCCATCTGGAAGATAAATTAAGGGAAGATGTTGAAGGTGGATAGGACATACATTACGGAAACCATTAAACTGCATCACGAAGCAAGTCCTAACTTGGCATCATGAAGGGAAAAGAAAAGGAAGAATACCAAGGGACATATAGCGTTGGGAATAGGAGGTACATCAAAAGAATGAACAGTGATTTTAAACAACTGGAGGAGACGGCCCAGAACAGAGATGGTTGGAGAATTCTGATGGGTGATTTATGCTTCTCCACGATGGTCAGTAGACATAGGTAAGTTATCAGTATGTGAACGCACTTTCACGGGTTTACCCTCAGCAATGGAAATTCATGGGGTAAGTGTGTTATCTTTAAGACAAAATGGAAAGTAATTTGATATCTATCAAGAGATTAAGAATCACTATATACAAATCACTACATTGTGCTTAGGAAACATAGACGCCAGAAATTTACCAATCAACTCCACATGTGCCCACGGTACGTGTAAGTAACTGGAATGTAACACCTCATGAACTAGTATAGGTGATTTTCCTTGCACAGTTTAACGACAAAAACCCGCACTTAGCAGACTGGATTATTTATTTAACCGTCGGGTAGTAGACATGAATTAGATATATCTGTTAAGTTTTGGGTAGTCAGGGCATATCGTTAGCCCATAATCAACAAATGTTGTTCAGTGAAAGTTCACAGACATATGGGTGGTTAATGAGTTGTTCTTCATAGTTAATTATCATTCAACAAAGCAAACACTATCATTATCGAATAACCCCTAATTTCAGAAGACAGTGTTATGTCCCGATAAGAATAATGAATGGTAACTTTTGAGATCCATCTATGGACCGATACTATGCGTATATTTTTATCGTATAATTGTTAAACAACTAAACTATACATATTCTTGTCCCTCCTATTATGAGCTTTATTTTGACCTATGAACTATTATTACATGATTTACCATTCTTGAATTATACCCAGTCTATCAATTACTATCTCCCTCATTCACAGCCACATTTGGCTAATTATTGTGCAAATGTTGTTTCATATTTTATGGTACAATGTGGTCTGTCTGGTTGGTATATAAACCCAGTGTGGTTGAAATAAATTATTCATAACGCAGAGGTTGAGATTGGTGTTCTGGACTTAACTGGCTAGGCTAGGCAGGAAGCAGGACCGATAAGTACTCTAGACTGCTCGCACAGGTTTTATGTATCATTGGTCCGGTCGATAATTCACTGCTCTCTAATTGATGGTATCATCGCGTCATACATTAACAGGGCACACAGGTAACAAGTTAAGACAGACAGAAAGTATACCGAAATGACTGTTAGAAAATATTACGTACGGTAACGTGGATAACATAATCGTAATTCACCAAATGCACGAATGAAGAGTGAAGTTTAACTATAAGCTAGGATTATAAGTGCGATACAGAATACGGAACATACAAATATATCCAAAACAATCTGTTAAAGCTCATGTTTAAGGATTGAAATATATTTACAAGTGATCGTAATAGTACGAGGGTTATTTAAGCGACCCATTTCATACACCGCGTATCTGAATGTATTTCATAACACTTCCTACTGCAGTATGGTAGACCACAAACTATGCAGTTATATAGACCTTGAAAACCACAGACATTACAAAACTTCCTCCTGGGTAGCCTGCTCGGAGGAACGGCAGCCGTAAAATAACAGGCACCAGTAGTTCCTCCTTTCGTTGCTTGATATTCTTCATCCAGTAAAATTTCAAACGTTTTCCTACAGCGTGCACGAATATTCGATATACGTTTCTTTTTTCGGCGCTTATTGTTGGCAGAAATGTCTTCATCCTAAAATGAAAAGTGGTAAACTGATGCTAAATAACTATCCAAACCTCATCTCCAAATTGTGGTCTCTTCGTTCCCTTCACATCTGAGTGGGGTTCTTCAATGTGATTATCTTGTTCCAACAAGCTAAGAGTTTTCCTTTGTCTCCTCTCTTTAGCTGCATCATCTAAAGGACGTCTAGTAGCCTCACGCAAAAGTTCGCGTTTTTCCATATCATAAGATATACTTGCTTCACTTTTGCACATTAAAGGATATAAAAAATGAAAAAAGTTAATATTCTAAAGCTACACTTGAGCTACATGCTGAATATAATTGGGACTTGAGTATTGGAGGAAAGGTATAAAGAACAATAGCTGTTATGGAAAAAGTTCGATTCTTCGAAACATGGTACGGATTAAACAGTAAATCCTAAACGGAAAGTATGCGGGACGTGACTCGGAAAATATTTTATTTATTTGAACACATAAATATTGGTACAAGAGAGCGCCAATATATATGCGCCACACTGTATAAAAGACTTGACTGATAACACTACTTAGATGCTCAAACTTAGTGGAGTCCGAAAAAATGACTCGTAATTGAAAGTATGAATGCTTAAACCAATTAGAGAATACAACAGTTTATATTTTGCTATACTGAGAGAAGCAGCTTCAATCTTGGCAACACCGCTTAGCGTGATGTTCTCACATTCGCTAAGTCGAGGCACATCACCAGGAATTTGTAAGTTGGCTCACATCACACCAATTTTCGAAGGAGTTCGCAGTGGACCCTAAAGCTACCGACCGGTAGCACTTCTCTCTCTACCCTCAAAAATTATGGAGACCCTGATATGCGACGGTATACACGACTACTCATTATCCATAAACTTCTTTTCGCCTCCAACAGCATGATTTCGGAAAAGGTCACTCTTGTATAGCCAACCTGTTGACTGCAGTAGACAGATGGACAACCATCGTTAATTGCAAAGGGAAGGTTGATGTCATGTACCACGACTTCTCGAAAGCTTTTGATAGGGTCAACCACATGTATTATCAGTAGGCTCAAACGACTAGGTATCAAATCACCTTTAATTTCTTGGCTCACCTTATAGTTAAAATATCGATATTTTAAGGTCAGGGTTCACTTCACTTACTCCCAGGCTATGGAATGTCCTGGTGGGGTCCTCCAGGATTCAGTACTAGGACCTCTGCTTTTTTTATTTATGTAAACGATCTTCTAAAGCAGGCATCGTCAGATTTATTGCTTTTCGCTGATAATGTGAAACTCTGTAGAGAAGTACGTAACCAAGAGGATAAACCGGCACTTTAGGAGGATCTGACTCGATTCTAAAGGTGGATAGATGACAACGGGCTTACCTTCAACACTTTAAAGTGTAAAGTAGTCCATCTGATACATGTTGCAGACTACAACTTATGCAACTCCCCTTTAGAGGTACTCAAGTTGAGAAAGATCTAGGAGTGTTGGTACCCTATGATTTAAAGTGTTACGCCGACTGTGACAAAAATGCCTTCCGAGCAAACCTTGCATTGGTAACTTTGAAGCGCATTTCCGGCCAGTTCGACGGAGGAAATTTCGACATAACCTCCAACAGTTTTACTTGTTCCCATTTAGAGTACGAAAATATAGTATTTCCTCCCACATTCCAAAAGGATAAGGACACTCTGCAACGTATCCAACGACAAGCCACGGAACCAGTTCGGGGACTCAAATTAAAGCCTTATGAAGAGCGTCTTCAGTCATTGAACCCTTACCCATTGGAGTACAGGTGACCTTCTAATGGCCTACAACATCCTTGACACTTCTGGACATCCTCATAAATACCTTCTTGAACTTAGTCCCAACACAAAACTTAGGGGTAAGGCCAGGAAACTGGAGACAACACGGGATAACGGATCGTATACACACCTTCTACTCCTTAAGAGTAGTCAAATGCTGGAATTCGCTGCCAGCTCAGCTGGTTCAGGCGACTTCGCAGGAGAAGACCTGACATATTCTTACCGCCTAAGGACAGTATCTTACTATGATCATAGAACAAAGTTGGTAAGCCGATTTACAAACTTCCTTCTTTTTCCCCTTTTATCTTTAGTATACCTAGGTTCCTACCTGGAGGTATCATGATCCACTGCTACTAGATACAGAAGACCGTTAAGTGGAAGATTCTGTTCCGTTTAGAACAATTTGGATCATGCTCAATAAGTCCACTGCATTACCTGACAGGCACTTAGGAACGCATATGTAAAAATTACGCTATTATAGTAAGAAAAAAGACTAATATATGATGACAACATATCAGTTATATTACTCGAAGAGTCAGTTTAAGATACAATACCAAGTAACTAAACCCGTGTAGCGCTTTCTTCTGTTGTTTGTATACACTACACACAGCTTACTAATGACTTTGGGTGATAGAATTTATAGTCTGTTTATGTACGGCAAACATATTTGTTTCACAACTTTGTATCAGAAACAATTACTTTAAAATTTGCTCTCCATATTTAATCGTTTTCAGGTCATCAAGTAATATTGCTATTTTTACTGCATATGTTAATTAGTTGTAGTCAACCTGTACTCCTGCAACCGATCAGTCTACGTTAGCAGATATGCTAGTGACTCGAGTCACTATCTATTGGTCAAGGTCACTTTGAAGATAGAATGTAGATATACTCACGGAACACTTAGCCCTCAAAAACTGTTAGGCCATGACTTGATAACAGTCCTTTGAAAATGTTTTCCAAATCTGCACAACCTGAGTTATGAGGACACGTCCGATCATTGCAACAAACCCTGCAAATCAAGCGGCTTTGGATTACAGTTTAAGTCAATATCCAATAAATCGCAAATCTGTTCTTTAATGCTCTGTCCAATAACGAAAATCAAACTGACATACTGCCTGCGTGGATTCTCTTTTTTTTATTTCGTTTAATGGAATCAGGAATTGCATAAAACGCTTATTCCAACGCGGTTTTTGTTAGAGAATAATGATTTGGGTCTGACTGTTTCCGGTTCTATTTCAATTTCAGATGAGGAACAAAAAATATTTATGGGGTTTCATAAAGCTTCTGGAAAGGAATCTGAAAGTTCATTCAAATTTGTTTAGGACCTGTCGGTAGATGGATTTATAACTTCATGTTGATATAAAATGTTTTGCTCGATGACAAGTTATCATGTCAATTGTAGAATTACTATTAAGCAATCTAGAAACCGTGATTAAATCACGTTAAGTATTTTTATATGACAAGTGGGGTAGGCTTTGTTTCTCCAGTCTCTAATCACACCGTTGTTTTAGGTTACCGAAAATCAACTTGGTTGCGACTAAACAAACCGCTTCCGACGAATCTGTCTTTTCTGGATAAGACCTGATTTTTCAACATGAAACACTAGACTTAAAAATGATCGTATATTGTATCCGAAATCCGAAACGATGACAGCTTATTCAAGGCAGTGCGCAATGTTTTTTAAATATTAGATGACGAAGACCACTGGGTCAATGCATGTCTGGATCACAGGGAGCTCAACCTTATTTAGCATGCGTTTATCAGTAACTTGGCAACTAATATGAATCATGATGCTATCAGTGAATATTCATCAGTGACTAGTCATTGGTGAATACCAAATTCTAGGACATTCAGATAAGTTTTGCTAGTCGCTTTGAAGCTTCAATATACCACCTCTGTAGGGTCAGTTATTATGGCAAGCCCATGTACCATATTCTAACTTGCGGACATCCTATTTTATTCATCCTGCTCGAGCCATATTTTGACCTTGTCAATTATTCGTTTATCAGTCTTGACTGTTTTTATATGAGCGTATATGTGTGTGCCCTTCTAATCGCATTAATCACATGTCTGTAGCTTTATTTTGTCTGATTATAAATATGGAGTAACTCTTGACTAAAATGGAGTTGGCTTCCCAGCCATCTTCCCTGCGTGTCGTTTTGCTATGCTCTATTTCATTCGCGTCATATACAAAATATATGTATGCACAGATGAATTCTCGTTATTCGACTTATTTAATTCCGTTATTGGCTAACGCGATTAAGTCGACGATGATATACGAGAATAGGCGATAGCAAACATTTATACGATCTAAATAGGAGTCAGATCTATGGGCCACTAAACCTTCGTTTTCCGCAGTACCCCATATGCTGATATCGCCAGCATATAACAGAATCGATCATAGGAGACTAGGACAGTCGGTTGGATGCAAGAGGAACATAATTTGTCTCATGGCTGTACCGTGTGGGACTCTATCACTGACAGTTTCCCAGCTAGATGACTTGAAGTTAACAAGTTGTTTTGTGCGTTCGTTCAGTATATTGGCTTTACAGTCCTTTGATCTGGCCTCAACTGACACATTGGTATTGAATGTAACCGCCAAAATCCTAGTGTTTTATCTGAACAGAGTGCTAACTAACAAATTTAGTTGATAAGACCAAACTACATACTTCTGTATTGCTTACGAAGCGTTTTTAAGTGACTCATATTCAATTATATCAGAACTCAAATTTAGTGCCAAAATTAAACGGTTTTAACTTATGAAGAAAATCAAATTATATAAAAAGTACAAATTACCTAAAACGACACAGCCTGTGTCATTCAGTCGCACGTTTCTCTGGCCCAAAGTGCATGTGAAAATACACATGTACGTGCTCGAAGATACAAAACGTGAGAATAAAAATAACAAACTGGTATTCATTTGCACTGTTTAATTAAAAAAATTTTGCTCACTACATACACAAATATATCGAAAAAATTTAGGAAAACTAGTGTTTGCTTCCAGTTTTCTTGACACAACAATGCGAAAAACGAGATGAGACAAAATGTTTTGTAGCATTCTAGGCTCAATAACCGTTTAAGTGTTCCGGAATCCTAGATCTCCTTCGAGAACACGTTGTTTTAGACGAGTTGTCAAATTGCAGAGAAATTTCCTCATGATTGCTGATTATTGCGTGGGGTATCGTAGTTGTAAGGCCCATGTCGCTGGGGTACGCCGTGGGAGAATCAACATTGGTAATTTCTCCTTCCGAATATGTGGTTTAAGGACGATCATTTCTGCTCAACCTTGGCATTTCGGAAGCTAGGTGGTGAACTTTCTAGGATGCAGGTTGTTCTGTAGTCGTGATGTTGTGTGTAGCATTGCTGGTTGCGTATGGTGTTTTTGGTTGCGTTTGGTACAGTTCGGGGTACTTGTTTAATTACCGCTGATAGTATGG